GCGTTCACCCTCCTGCGGGTGAGGACCGGGGTTCCCTTGTCCGCACTTCCGTGGCTGCTGAGCACTCGCGAGTGCAGCACACAACGGACTGCCTGTGCGAGAAGGGACTTGGCCAGTAATGAGTCCCACCACCCTCGTCCCCTCAGCCCTGGCAGCCCCCGATGGGTCAAGAGGGAGGGCCCGAGCCTGCCAGAACCTTTGGAGCGCCCAGAGAAACCGGGCAAGGGCCCCTGCGGGGTCCTATTTTAGCTGCGTTAGTTCAGTAGATCGAGGAGTTTGGGGCGGCCGTTCCTGGGACGCTGCCTGGCTGTACCCCACAGTAAACACCATAGCTACCACACACACTGTGGATGCGTCTATCTGCCCTGGCCCAGGCGGAATGGTGACGCTCCTGCGCGCCGGGCCCTCCAGCCACTCCGAGGGCTGGGCTGCGTCCCAGCCGCAAGACTTGGGCCCAGGACCCCTAGCGAAGGGGGAGAGAACCACACAACATGGGTGAGCCGTCTGGGACCTGGGAGACAAGAGGAACAGAGCCCAGGGCTGTGCCACCGGTCTCTCCCCATGGGGCCAGTACAAGGTGCCTGGGGGCTCCGAGAGTCAGCTTCACACCTGTGAGGCAGCTGAGCCCAGGAGGGGAGATATGCAGGGAGGGGCGGCGCGACCAGCGCCCATTCTGGGGGCCGGGAGTGTCCCGCAGGTCCACCGCCTTCTGTGGCCCATGCAGGCTGAAGCAAGCCTTCCCCAGGTTCCTGTCACCCCCTCCTTCCATACCTGAGAGGGGGAGGCTCCTCATGCAAATGGCCCGGCCGATTTTGCCCCCCCCCGGCTGGCCAGGCCCCCTGTGCCTGAGGGTGTCAGGGATGGGCGGGGCGGGGCTGTGTGGTCCCAGGGGGTGGGGAGGTCACAGCTGTGCCCTGAGCAGAGGGCACCAGGCAGGGCAGGTGGCTGGTCCCAGCTCTGATCACCCTACACCTCTCAAGAGTAGACCCCGATCGTCCCCTGGTGTCCAGACCCAGAGACTCCATTGGGTGACATTGTCACCAGAGTGTCCCAGAGCCAGCACTGCCTCCCCACTGCTCTGTCCACTGCCCCAGTCTCATGTGACCCTGATTTGTCAGAACCATTAAGAATGACTCTTCAAAATACAAGGCTAAGAGAAAATAGGGTTTATTCTTAATGATGATGCTATCTTTTTTAAAATGACATTTTAATAATTTCTCACCAAAAAGAATATTCGCTATACATTATTTTATCATAAAACCAGTAAGCTTAGCAGAAAAGATAATTCCAAATACTAAAATTACCAAAAAGAACCAAGGGTTCGTGTGTGACTGTAGACGTGTGGAGGGCAGCACATGCACCAGCCGGGGTGAGCGAGTGAGCGTGGGGGGTGGGGCTGCTGGGGACCACCAGGACCGTCAGCTTCGCATCTGTATCAATGACTGCGTCACAACCTGGTTCCAGGACTGTCAGATTTTAAGTGCACCACATTTTATATTTCTCAAAAATTAATTTATTGAATATTTAGTCACCCAAATAACATAGGTGTATAAGTTTGTGTGAATCTATAGTACATTTTCATTTTGGTTTTATAAGCATAACCTATTTTAATTATTATTTTAAATTATGTTTGTGTTTCACCTTGCCGTGTGTAACTGTTTCTGTGATTGCCATGCGGACACTGATCTGAGCCACTGCGCCGTGGTCTGTGCGTCCAGTGCCGCCTCCTCTCTGATGGAGCCGGGACCGTCACAGTGACCCGCGTTTCCCTTTTTCTCCACCTGAATGAGCAGGGACTCGCCAGGCTGAGCAGTGTCTCTTGCACAGAGGACGAGGCAGCCCATGTCCCCTCCCGGCCCCTGAACATTCTCCCAGGGGTGTCCCCAAGCTCTCAGGCTGAGGACAGGGAGAGGAGCAGGGCCACCGCCGGGTCCCCAGGTCACCCACTGTGTCTCAGGACAGCGTGCGTGTGGTGAGAGGCGGGCTGCATGTGGCACATAGACGCTGGGCGCGTCCCTGTGTTGGGCGCTCTCAGCAGGGGGTGTGTCACTGTGCAGGGAGCAGCCTTGTCCCTGCCTCAGGGAGCTGCCCCTGATGGAGTGACAAGGTGTGGTGCTCACGGGGGCTCCCTTCCTCATGTCACCGCTGCAGGCAGAGAGCAGGGGCAGAGCTGCACTCGGGGGTCAGAGCGGGCGGAGGTTCCTGGCATCACAGGGGAGGAGGGAATCAGAGCACACATGAGCGGAGGGGCCACTCCTGGGTTCAAGTGAAGATGAAGAGAAGTTTGCAAAGTAGATCTAGAAGGAGCAGCAGGGAGGAAGGATGAGACCCGACGAAGAGGCCGCTGGGGACTGAGGGACGGGGGGTCAGGAGAGGAAGGAGCTGGCGGGACCAGGGTCTCAGCCATCCGGGAGGGTGGACGTGTCAGGGCGAGGAGCTTGCTGAGGTGTCGAGGTCTGCAGAGGTCGAGGGGCTGCAGGGCGGGAGGGGGAGCCCTGCCTCAGAGGGGGTGGCGGGAAGGATGGGGAGACGCTGAAGGACGCAGAGGCCCCTGCAGGGGAGACTGGGTGGGAAGGTGAACACAGACAACGTCCAAAACCCTCCTGTCCTTCTCAGGAAACTTCATGTAAATGGAATCTTGCTAATTTGCAGAATCTGTCAGAGGAGAAGATGAACATAAAGTTTCTGGCTTTATTAACACAGAGAATGTCAACTGGTCCAGGTCCAACACAGGCAGCTGGTTTCCAAGGTCCTTTCCTTTTGGGTTTATATGCGGTGATTTACAAACCCTCATTGGCCAAGTTTTACCATCTCGCTGGTATCCTCGGCAACATCCCAGCTAAATAAAATATTGACACACGTTAACTCCATATGTTATAAATTACTGTGTTCATTATTTTGAAAAATATCCTTTCACCTCTGTTAAGTGATCCATTGAGAGTCCCAAAGAGACCACCTGCCCTGTCTACCTAAACTCCCACACAGAGATTTACTGAGTTTGGGCTCAGGGTCTCTGCCTGGCTCTGGAGTGGCCCCAGAGGCCCCACGTGCTCACTGTGGCTGCCCTGCTGGTTTCTAGAGACCCAGCCCTTGCCAGGACAGTGGCCGTGGGTGGTATTTGGGGTCATCAGCCTTCAGGTGAGCACTGGGCAGGGGAAGGGGACAGGACAATAAGAGTGTATTATGTGGGACATGGACCGGCCCCTGAGGACATGCCGCAGAGTTGGAGTGTCACTGAGCAGCCCCAGTAAGAAGCTGAGAAGGAGAGTCCAAGGACAGGCGGTGCAGGAGAGGGCAGTCAGGGCTATTGGAGTTGGCTTTGTGTCCTGACGTGGCAGAGTCACAGCTGACGCAGGGTGAGGCTGACTGTGACCCCTGCCCCCAGGACACTGAAGAGGAGGGGGCAGAGGTAGCACCACTGTGCAGAGGACCCCATGATGGGGGACCCTCAGCAGTGCCCAGGGGGACCTGGCAGCAGCTGTGTGGGGCTGGGAGCAGAAGGGGACCTCACATGGCGACGTGTTCAGGGCAGGGGTGCAGGTGCTGAGCCCCTGGGACGGTCCCCAGCTGAGGAGGGGCAGGGCGAGGAGAGGCACCGGGGGTGGTGGGCATTTGAGCCACGGGTTCCATCACTGGGCCTTCTCCGTCCTCCTCTCCTGCTCGGGGAAGACAAGGCCACCGTGAGCTCTGTCTGCTCCTTTCTCTGTCTCCTGAGATTAGTGAATTGCAGATCTGTGTCTCATGGGCAAAGCGGGCGTGACTTGGCCTGGGACTGATCAGTAGTAGGGACATGAGAAAGGTCAGAGGCCAGTGCTGTAGCTTTGTGAAATCAGGACGGCCGGGACAGTGACCCTGCTCAGCTCCCAACATGCACAGGGCATGACCCAACATGGACTCACCATGGGGGAGGACCAAGTAGTCCACATGGTGGGGCCACTCAGACAAACCTCCTGCCTTACTCTCTCCTGTCTGGACCCCACATCTCCGGGCCATGTGGGCACCATGGGACTGACCCAGCTGCAACTCCAGGGATGGACCCTGTGTTGCCCAATCCAGTGGGAAAAACTACCCCTAGTCACCACGACAGTGTCATGGGAGATGGTGAAATGATCTGGTCCATTCGCACTGAAGGCTGGGGTTCCGGCCATGGAACAGGAGGGCGGGTCTCTGTCACTGTGGGGGTTTGGTGTGTGGTGTGATGTTGGCCCACAGAGGCATCTTGTCCCATGTGGGAATCCCGCCTGGACACCACGTCCTCATGGAGACGGACAGGGAACCTCAGAGAACCAGGCAGCCTCCATCAGCCCTGCCTGCTGCTTCTTCCAAACAGTGGCCGCTCCGCAGCCCGACAGCAAAGGCCAAAGGTTAGAGCCAACTGTGACCTTACAGGTCAGAAGTAGAACCACAGTCACCTCTGGTGTCTCTTCCTCTCAGAGAATTTTCCAGATAAACGGTGAGAGAACACCCAGGCTGCCAGTGCTTGCAGGTCAGGCTCCCGCGTGCATGGCAGGTGACCCCGAGCCTGGGTCAGCGCCGGCTCCGTCGGTTTCACTCACGTTTCATACAACAAGGGATGAACTGGACTTCTATGCAGCCGTCTTTTCTGAGTAAAATGGACAGTTTACGGAGCAAAGAGTCCACATCTGGTCTCTAATCTAAGTTCTGCAGCACAGCTGAGGGTCCAGAGCCCGTCACTACGTGGTCTGTGACAACCTCAGCCAAGCAAGCCGTCCAGGAGCACAAGGGGGCTCCCCTCCCAGAGAATGTCCCCAATCCTGAGGTGGTCACAGTGGAGCAACCCCCTTGGGGTGACAGGCTCAGTTGTAACATTTCCATCACTATGACATATCTGTCACTCCATAGGAGCCTGGCCTAGCAGCCTGGTTCCCGAGAACCCTTGACATGAATGAAAATGCATCTAGCTTTCTCACTGTAAAATTTCTAATGAAAAGAAATGAATAATTTTGAGGATTCAGACAACCAGACACTGTTTCTGGGAGCCAGGTGGCAGCCTTGGTAGCAGAGTAGAGCAAACAGTTTTTGTCCCACTTCCCCATTCATCTGGATCACTGTGTTTTAACCATATGAACCACCAATGCTATAACCTGCACCACAGTAATAGTCAGCCTCGTCCTCAGGCTGGACGTTGGAGATGGTTAAGTAGCGGTCAGCCCCGGAGCTGGAGCCCGAGAAGCGATCGGGGATCCCATCCCCCTTGCTGTGGCTTCCATCACTGTTAACATACATCAAGTACCGAGGGGCCTTCCCTGGCTGCTGCTGATGCCATTCAATGTTGTAGTCACTGTGCGCACTGCTCAGGGTGCAGGTGAGCTTGGCCGAGGCTCCCGGGGAGGCAGACGCAGAGGGCGGCTGGGTCAGCACAGGCTGGGACAGGGACCCTGGAAACACAGACACAAATAGGAGTTTGGTTGAGACCAAGGTAAAATTTCTCTTGGGCTCCTGAGACTGAGAGGCTAATACCGGCACGAAACTGCGAACTGATCTCTGAGGTCTGTCCCTACCTGTGCAGTGAGAGAGGAGCACGAGCAGGACAGGAGCCCAGGCCATGGTGCACACAGCCCCTGGTCCCCACAGTGGGGCTGGGCTGCCCAGGCCTCCTTTTGTCCCCACCCTCTGCAGAGGAGGGGCTGCTCATGCAAATGTGTTTCCATCCAGGGACTGCCCAGCCCCTCCCTGAGCCCTGGGCTGGGGCTCAGCTCTCACTGCACACTGAGGAGGGGGAGCTTTGCTTTGCCCCTTGGGGGAGCCCTGGGAGGAAGCAGCTGCTGGGACCATAAAAGGGCCCTACTCAGGGGACTGTGCCAGGCCAGAGAGGACACAGCTGCTGAGTCCCCATCAGTGAGCACAGGGCCCAGCTCCCAGGACTAGGGTCCTTCAAGTGACTGGTCCTCCCTGTGCAGCTGTGTAGGGACCACAGGGCAGTCCCCCAGCGCCCCCTGCTGGTCACAGGCACACACCTCCCCATGGCCCAGAGACCTGAGAGCCCAGCTGGTCTCTGCAGCTCCCCAGTCACTGTCTCTGGTCACACACCCATGGGCTGAGTCCCTGGTGGAGAGACCTCAATACACTATGAGTGATCACTGGGGTTTCTCACTCCCAGAAGGAACCCTGGACTAAGAGAGGTGCAATCATGTACATATATAACAGTTTTAGGTACTGTCCTCCAATAACTTGCTATAGTCTAGAAAAACCTAAATGTCCCTCACGTGGTATCAATGTAGGCACCTCAGATGCTGGAACATTGAGCTGATCTGAATGGCAGGACAGGCTGTTCAGGGGAATGGGATGGAAGAACAACGTTCCAGGAATTGTCTGATTGATGTGTTCAAAATTCAACAACTCAGAAAACATTTCGAAACTCACACAATGATGAAATTGTGAAGATATGATTTCTGAGAAATTAGTAGTTCACTCGGGATAACATTTAATTGTTCATAGTCTAACACATTTCTTCAGTTTTTGAAGTGAGTTTTTTCTTCCTACATTTGTAGTTTTTTGATTATCTGTGTCTTATATTTCTGGTTAGTATTTTCTTTTAGAGAGAATACAATGTGTTTGTATTCCAAATATAATTTTCCCTGTATGTGTTTTCTTACTTTTATTTATTTATTTTGTAGTTCACTAGGAATATCAGTGTGACATTTTAATGTCTCTCCAGAGACGCTGATGCCTGGGCAGATGAATGCAGACACCATCCCTTCCTCACTGTGTCCCAGATGCAAATCTGCTTACCTGTGCAAATGGTCCCACACTCCCAGACTCTGAGGCTCTTTTGGTAAATAACTATGACCAGGATCCTCTGATTCCCTCAGGACTCTCTGCTCAGGACACCAGGACAAATCCTTTGCACTCAGGACAGGCAGGTTAACTGGGAATTAAACTCCATTAGTGACTCCCAGGGCTGTTTGCACAAACCCCAGAGTCCTCACCCCCTCAGCCCCTTCCTGGTCTGGCCCCGCCCAGCCCACAGCCCTGCAGCCCCTCCCCTGGCTCTGGGGATCCAGCCACACCCACTGCTCTGTCCTGGGCCCCCCTGAGCTCCTGCACCTGCCATGGCTGCAGCAGCCCCTGCCCTGTCTGTGGGGAGAGACGGCTCCAGCGGGAGGTCAGGGTGGGAGTGACATTCTGAAATGGTCTTATATATATTATATGAACCATGCACAATTTTATGAATTTTTACTTTATATATAGTGATTTTATGTGATGTAATATGGATGGGTTTCACCTTCTGTTGCATATTTCTCTTACTGATGTGAATTGGATAGTAATGTTAGTATTTTTAGTAGTTGTATAAATTTTTGTGTTTCTTTTTAACTTTTCAGAGACTCTGTGAGCATTGTGGGCAAAAATGGATGAGACTCCATCATAGGTGGCCCTTTTGGACACCTGGTCCATGAAAGCGTGTCACCTGCTCTGGAGCAGAGCACAGACAGGGTCTGTCTGGGAGGACGGCTCAGAGGAGGGGCACTTGCTGGGGATGCTGGTGTGACTAGGAGGTCACTGAGGGGAAATGGGGTTCACAGAGGGGAACATAGACTGTGGGATGCTCAGCCCTGTCCAGAGCAAGGCTCAGAGAGGGGGTGGCAGATACTGATGGGGAGCACAGGGGGTGAGGCTGAGGCATTCAGTGGGGACAATGCCCAGGGCCATGAGGCTGAGTCTCCTTCATTTAAGGGGAGAGGTTTACCCACAGCTGTGCCTGTCCTCGGTCACCCTATTAGAGACTCAGCTCTAGGACAGGAATTTTAGGAGACCTTGAAGGACTGATCTGGCAGGACACATTCCTGGGAGGCTGAGGGAGATGACAGCAGAGGAAATAGGGAAGGGGAGGAAGGGCATGTGCCTCCGAGTGGGACATGGGGACGGAAGGCTCAGAGAGGAAGGAAGAGGAGAAGGGAAGAGTCCAGGCATGGGGAGCATCTCTGAGGTGACTGAGTTGTGTCCCTGGGCTGGATCAGGCAGTGATGAGCCCGGGGTCCCTGCAGGAAGCAGGATCCTCCAACGGGCTCCCCATGGGCCAGGACCCCCTCAGCCTGCTGGGACATCCTAGATCTGCCCGTGGTCTGAGGCTTGTCCTGCCCATCCTTCCTCCCTCCCTCCTTTCACAGGGTGGGAGCTGTGGTCTGAAGCCCCCTCCTGCATCAGCCCCCTCCCCATCTGTCTATCAATTGTGCCTCCCACACAAAAATATTACTTTCTTGTCTAATTCCTCCTTGTCTCTGCTTCTCAGAGGCTCCAAACTCAAATCAATTATACTGCAGAGAGAAAAGCTCCTCCATGACGCCGTGAGGAGCACCATGATTTCATGAGCAGCCTCATCCCCACGCTGGAGCCCAGAGATGAACCGAGCCCGGCACTGGCGACGTCGTCCAGCATCCAGAGAAGTGGCCGCACCCCCAGCCCTGGTGCTCACCTGAGTCTGAGCAGAACCTCAGTGGGTACCAGACCGGCGCCCTTGACTGTCCTGTTCCAGCAAACGTCAGAGCCGACATCATTCGTGTCACCTCACTCTGTGTCCTGTCACAGACCCCAGCCCTCCATTCCTTGCTGCCTGAGGATTTTCAAAAGTTTTAAAGTAGTTATTGCCCAGTTCTCAAGTGGTTCATGAACTCAAGGTTTTCCATGCTATTCCATCAGGGCTGGGACTTTTCTTCCTTTAATTTTGCATACAAAGAGTCTCCTTAGATATTCTCAATCTCACTTTGTTTTAAATTTAGAAGCAAATTTCACAATGTTCCACGCTTCTGTTTGGACATGGATCCATTGTGTTTGTTCCACGGAATTTGAAATCTGTCCTAAGCCCCTGGCACACCTAGTTCTGTTTCTGACTGTTACGGAACCTTTCTTCCATTTGTTCCAGCAACAGCCTACACTGTTAAAATAATTTCACTTTAAGATAAGTCTCCAAATTTAAGTGTGTTTCGCTCATTCTTTGTTCATTCGAGAAACAGTCGAGGCTATTTTCTTAATTTAAATTTTTTCAAACTACTATTGAAAAGTCAACATTCCCCAAACTTCTGTCATTTATTAAAACACATTTACGATAGTGACATATTAAATATGCATAAATTTCACTTTGGTAATATCATGCCGTCCTCCCCTCAATGCAGCCTGAGCCCACATTTACTTGAGCCTGATTTCATTCATTTACTGGAGTTGTCACTTCTCCGCAGAGTGTTGTTTGGTTCCTGGTGACCAGACGGCCTGGTGTCCGTGCGGCTGTGGGTTGGTGAGGACGGCCCGTGTGAGCAGAGAGCAGCCACTGCAGGCAGGTCCCCATCGAGTCCCGGTTCCCAGCGGCACGTCCTCTGCTGAGGCGTGGGGGCCCTCGCCGGACCTGCTGCGTGTCCCCTGTGAGGACCGCGAGGCGCGTGCTCGCGAGCAGGCTCCAACAGGCCTGAGGGCAGCGTGGCCTGGGGCTGCAGGGCCGCCCGGGCCAGTGGTGACTCCTGCGCTGGGCCTGGCGAGGCGCCTGGCCTCGCTCTGCCCGTCCTCTGTCTCTGAGAGGAGCCTGTGCTGGAACACACCTGTCCTGCATCCTGGGCAGGAGCAGGCTGCGTGTGGGATCAACACGGCCTCGGCCTGAGGTGTGCTGGAGTCAGGGACTCACGAAGGGCCTGCGACCTTCAGCTGCTCACGTGTGATGAGAAACAGGCTGGCACGTGCAAAGGCTTCAACACCATTAGCCATTAGGGAAATGCGATGGAACCTACAGTGGGATGCCACTGCGATCCCATTAGGGTGGCTACAACAAAATGACGGGTGATAACCGACGGTGAAGAGAGGGTGCAGACATTGCACCTCTCAGACGGTGTTCATGGAAAGGAAACCTGGGGTCACCCCTCAGTACGGCAATCAGACATTTAATCCAACAGGGTTACCATGTCACCCTGAAATTCCACAACGGCCAGTCTCCCAAAGACCAGTGAACACACATGTCCACAGGGAGATTTGAATCTCGTCTGCCAGGGTTTACTGCAACGTTACTCATAACACCAAAACGCTTAAGCAACACAAATGTCCAACCACTGGTTAATGGTGAAACAACCTGTAGTGTCTCCAGACTGCTAGTATTGGGCAAAAACAGGAATGAAGTACTGATACCAATACATTACATTTCGATACATTACATGTCCAAAAAAGAAGACTAATATTTTAATGTATTAATCTCTTAAATTATGTAGAAAGCAAAAATCAGACTTGCAACCCACAGTTACGGTAATATTAGCTATTAGGCTAATAATTGTTCCTTTGTATGATAATCAAAATATTCTAAATTTATATTATGCTGATAGTAGCACAGCTCTGTAAACACTAAAAAAATTGAAGTGTATACTTTAAGTGATGAAATTTATGATATGCAAATTATATCTTAACTCATGTTTTTTAAAAAAACAATGTGAAACACAGCAAAGTCTCTGACTTTGGAATGTCTTTGACCCTGTAAACCCTGTAACCCTGTCACACCTGACAGGTGTGAGCCGTGAGAGATAGACCCCACCCGTGGACCCTCCGGTGTTGGCCCCAGTTGGCCTGCTGGCTGGGGTGGTCCCAGGCAGTCATGAGGGCGACC